ACACACACAACTCTCTCTCTCTCTCTCTCTCACACACACACACACACACACACACACACACACACACACACACACACACACACAAACACAGTGTCTTCTCATCGGGCCATGCTTTGTGCCTTATCTTATTGCAAGTCCCAGAGACAGAATCGTACAGATAGCCCTGACTGTGGTGCTGGACAGAATTATCAAAGCGTACACGGCAGTAGATAAGTGTATAACAGGGTAATCTAAAGCATTGGGGACAGCATTGGGATTATGCATAACAGGGCAATCTAAAGCAGCTACTTGATCAAACCCCGAGGTGAGCTGCCAGAGAAGTACAAGCCGGACTTGGCAATGGCAGGTAGCGACCCCATGAAAGAGCAGCACAATTCTAACATTAATACATCCCATCATCCCAGTGCAATGCCCTCTAGCAATCCCTGGGCCAGCATTTTTTTCCCATGAGGATACCAAGTGCCTGGTTGTGAACCATGCTGCCACCATTTTAGTGTGATTTTACAAATTTACAGCTACATATCAATGTACGGCAGGTGGTCTCGACTCTTGAACAATCAAAGGGACAGAAAAAGCGCCTGCTACTGAACCAGTTGTCCGTCACCAAGAGCAAGGGTTCTGGAATCACCATGCCTAGAGCATCAGAACAGAACTGCCCTCCTATGCATGGTGAACTTGGGTGAAGTGCATACATATGAGCGTCACCAATTGTTGCTGCCAAACTCGTCATAAAACTGGCAGCTGATAGAGAGGGAGAGTCACCACTATATGAGAAAAAAAGGTCAGTTTACATAGTCGTGAAATCAACAGTGCGCAGAAGCGGACATAGGGAGAGTACACCGCATAAGTAATACCAAGCACCATGTGTCCGACACCTCCACCAGTCTGGTGATACTGTTGAGCTGGCCAATGGTCTGTTGGAAGAGAGGGGAGGGGGGGAGAGGGGAGAGGGGGGCACTCATGAACGAACACATGCAGTCCAATTAGGGCATTCTGTTGTTGGTATGGATATGTCGGTACACAGCTCTTGATACCGTAACAGGTGTCATAATGGTGTCGGGCACAGACGAGATTGCACACAGTCCAAATCAGACCAGTGTTTTGTTCCGTCCAGGTAGCGATGCATTTAGGGTTTACAGTTCAGGTGACAGGAGTGATTGCACGTGCTGCTGCCTTTTTTTTTTTTTTTACTAACCTCCAAGGTGATGGTATGCCGAGAAACATCCACCACACGGGATCGGAATATGCCAACAATGTCCATGACATCTCTCCTCGTCCGCACATCAGTTTCCACTTTTATCAGCATGAGCTCCCTTTCTGAAAACGGAACGTTGGTAATATCGCAAACCTGCAAGACGAGATTAAAAATAAAGTATTAGATATATAAGCACCAATGGGCCCAGCTCAGTTGATAGTACTTGATACACCCATGAACTGCTGCTGAAATGGAGACCAGTGTTCAAATCCAGATGCACACCAGAGTACCAGAATAAAATCATTGTGAATTACCTGGGACCGGTCAGTTCAACAATGATATCTCAAGGCCATTGCCCTTAAAAAAAAGAAAAAGAAAAAGAAAAAAAAAAGAAAAGCTTTCAAACTAGTATTATTATATTATATCATTATCTAACTTACTGCATGGGTCCTGGGGACCATCTCACGCAAGTGTGTACATGCCATGCATCGTACTCCCACACACAATGAACAGTAGTCTGACAATAGACAAAGATAGAGAAGAYGAGGACCSAGTTTCACAGTTTATATTATCAGAAATATGAATACAAAGTGTTTCAAAGTTCCCCTGAGTCCAGCGCTCATCAGCGCAACACCAATATCTTGCCAACTCATCAATATGCCTTTCAGTGAATCAGTGCTACCCCTGCAGATAGTCTCCAA